TTGTGAGATAAGTTTAGGGTGGTTGAGCTAGTGAAAGATATTATCTAGAAATGTGTTGACTTTATACATATGAAAATATTTGTGTGGAATGTCTTTTGTCAAGTATAAGCTAGGTAATGACCATATACTAAGGATCTAAGCCATATGTAATTTTGTTGTACTTAACAGAATGATATTGCACTTGTTGAATAATAAGCCCCACTTCGTAACCTTTTTTACTCGAGTTATTAAGTTTGTTGGGGGCATCTCAATACCCGATAACCTTTGTCCTAAAAAACCGATGAGCTATCAACCTAAAACTCACTACAAGGTAAAAAAGAAAGTTTAAGAGAGTGAGTTAAAACATGAGATTTGATTAAAAAGAAAAAAAAATTTGATTTGGTGCAATTATATTCGATATTTGGGTATAGATAACTAGTGTATTTGAATTACTCAGTATAAGTTTAAATGTTGACGTACTCATTAGTAGGGAATCATCACATGACTAGATATTGAAATTGTCGGTTAGACCTAACCGAATTAGAGCATTAAAAGAAAATAGAGATTGAGAGCAACCTTAGATTTACACGTGTTGCTTGATTGTAGTGTAGATAATCTTAGTCGAGACGAGCAAGAACTTAAGTTTAGGGGTGTTGATAAGTGTATTTTTTTATACTTATTTAATATCTAAATAAACTTAAATATTGATTAATTGAGCGAATTTCTACTCACAATCATGTAATTATTGCTTTTGTATATTAAAATCTTCCAAGGGAATGGAATAATGCAAAAGGAAGAGAAAAGGGACCAAAATCGTACAAAATTGTGAGGTTGGATACCAAAGTATACTAGTCAAAAGTTGAGGTTGCAATTTATGAAGGCTTGATTTAAATGAAAAAAAAAGTATGAGGATCAAATTGTACAAGATCAAAGTTGAGGGACCTGATGCGCAATTACCTGGAGACTTAAGTTGTAAAAAGAAGATGGAATTGTGTTTTCATTTCATTTATGTTTCAAATAAATGATTATGTATATTTATGTGTACATCGTTTGAGAGAAGATTGTGCATTTTAGACTAAATAGTAGAAATCCTAATTTTATTTATTTATTAATTTTTTTTTATAGGGGGATAGAGATGTACCTAACATTACGTGACCCATTAAACTATTTTCACAAAGATTTCATGCGATTGTTTATTTTTAATCGATATAGAGATATGGTATATTAAACCAATCAAATAGGGTTAGTTTTACTAGAGAAATGTGATTAGCCAACCCGAAAAATCGAGTTTAACATCGTAAATGAGTAATATGTTAATTAACTTGTGGAAAAATTAATTAGACGATGGTTAAATGAAACCATAAATCTCAACTACGTTTTCCTCCAAAATTTTCAAGTGTTTACATTTTCTTAGTTTTTAGAGTTTTAGTTTATTTTTCTTTATTTTCAAATCATAATTTTAATTATGTGTTTCTTTTTATTGTTAGAATTAAATTAATTAAAGTTGTGTAATCAAAAGTAAACATTCCTCGAGAAATTGACAACTTAAACTCAAAAAGTCTACTTTATTACTTGAATGCATCCCATGTACTTGTGGTCTGTTCTTTCTTATCGAACATTCTACTTATCGAGTCAATCATGGCTAGTTTTTCTATTGAATCTAGTCTGTGAGATCTTTATATGCTAGGCTAGGTTTCTATTATTTAGTTTAGGCTTTACACTCATTTTCCTCTATGCGCAACCTATTCTCTCTCTAAATAATCAATTTCTAAACAGATCTGATAGGTTATTTTTCAATAAAACAACCAATATTGTTCCATTTGAGAGTAACTACCAAATGATATTATGTCTACAACATATATATCAAGACTTATCATTGCACACAACATTCAAACTTCGATCAAATGACATAAGAAGCACAATTGTCACCAATTAGAAAACCCTTCCAAAATCTTTGAACTCATCATGCTTCCTTCAAGTTTATTAGAAGCTCTAGCTTCTTTCCATTCTCAAGCTGTATGGAGGACTTCCATGAAATACTACACTCTCAATAGAAAAATATATTTAATAGTAAATTTTGAATCCTTGCATTAGATATCCAATAATCAACATTATGCACATATTAAATTTAACAAGGTATTCATTGTAGTACAATTTATCATTTCAAATATTCTTGCATATCTTAATATTCTAATTTGAAGAAAACAGCGACATCCCCGACTTTTGTTGGAGTGCTTCGGAACTTAAATTGAGAATATTATGCAAAAAACAATCATACTTCCACAATTCTAGATAAGACTTAACTTAGCAACATAATATTCTTCTAAGTATATAAAATTCAACCATATCGATAATTCTGTTAATCGACTAGATAAACAAATTTATTCCACCTCTAGTGAACGTAAAAAATGACTAGGAAAAACAAAATATTGATATTATGGGTATTTTGGAAACGAATTTGTATGAGGTGAATTTAAGCAGGATTATGCAGAACAAATTTGGTGGATATTCGCAAATTAACAATTTCCATACACACCAAAATGGCCGGATTATGGTCTTGTGGAATTCCATGAAAGTTGAAGTTGAAGTATTGGAGATTTCGCCACAGGTCATCCATTGCTCCATTACTTGTAAGGTAACTCCACTTACCTTTCTTGTTAGCTTTGTTTATGCTTACCACACTATTGTGAGTCCCAGGCCTCTTTGGATTAACATTATGGAACATGGTTTGAATTGCTCTTCACCTTGGTTGCTTTTAGGAGATTTTAATAAAGTGCTTAAGTTTGATGAAAAAATTAATGGAGCGGATGTTACTCCCTATGAGGTGAAAGATTTTGATTATTGTTGTCTAAGTGTTGGACTCTCCAATGTGAGATCTATTGGATGCTTTTTCACTTGGAGTAACAGCTCGACTTGGAGTAAACTAGATAGGCCTATGGTGAATGAAGCTTGGACGCAAGGAGGTTTTAATAGCTTTGCTAATTTCCTAACCTTGGGGTTGCCTATTCGATCACTTGTCTTGCATGATTTCTATTTTTGGGAAAGTTGAAAGATAGAAAATTCCATTTTGGTTCTTCAACATGTAGACAAACCATGATGATTTTTATGAAGTGGTATGTAATGGTTGGAATCAAGATGTATGGGGAACAAAGCAATTCTCATTTTGTAAGAATATGCAAAATTTTAAAGTGTGCTTAAGAAGCTCAATAGCAAGCATTTCTCACATATCTCATCAAGTGCCAAAGTTGCTTTGAGGATATTGGAATTGATGCAAGTTGACTTACAAAATGATCCCACTAATCTTCAATTACAAAATGATGTGGCAAGGTTGAGGAAAGAAGCTATGAATCTTTGTGAAGCGGAAAAGAGCTTCTACTATCAACAAGCAAAATGTGTCTACTTGAGAGAGAGCGACAAATATACAAAGTTTTTTCACTCTATGGCTAAGAGAAACATGAAGAGAAAATATATTCCAGCTGTTATTAAAAGGGATGACACTTATTCTACTTCTGAAAAAGAAGTAGCGGAGGAATTCATCCATTTCTACAGTGAACTGTTGGGAAAAGACAGCTTTGGACAGCCCTTCAATGCTGAAATTCCGAATGTTGGGCTAGTATTATCGGAGGAAAATGCCATGTTACTTGATCGAGAAGTCACGAGACATGAAATCAAAGATTCCCTATTTAGTATCGAGGATGAAAAGTCATTGGGACCGAATGGGTACACTTTATGTTTTTTTAAGAAGTCTTGGGATAATGTTAGTGAAGAGTTCATGGAGGCAATTGGAGAATTCTTTACTTCGAGGTCTCTCCTCAAGCAAATCAACCACACAGTTATTACATTAGTTCCAAAGACTAATCATTCGCATACCGTGGATGAGTATAGACCGATTGTTTGTTGCAATGTGTTTTATAAAGTGATCACTAAAATTCTATCTTCTCGTTTGAGGCCTATACATGGTTCAATTGTTGATCAAACTCAAGCCGCATTTGTGGAGGGTAGAAGCATGGTGGAAAATATACACTTGGTCCAAGAGCTCTTAAGGCAATATAACCGAAAGAGGGTATCTCCTAGTTGCCTTCTCAAAATTGATTTGAAGAAAGTTTATGATTCGGTAAATTGAGATTTTCTTAAAAAGGTGCTTGAGGGGTTGCGATTCCCTACTACATTCCTTGATTGGGTGATGGAGTCTATTACTACTCCTACATACTCTATTGCACTTAATGGTAGCCTCCATGGTTTCATTAAGGGAAGAAAAGGCCTTCGCCAAGGTGATCCTTTTTCTCCGTTCTTATTTGTGTTGTATTTTGAATATTTTTCTAGAATGGTGAAGGGAGCTACCTTGGATAGCGAGTTCAATTTTCATCCTAAATGTACGCTGCTAAAGATTACTCACTTGGCATTTGGGGATGATTTAATGCTCTTTACTAGAGGGGATGTTATGTCGGTTGAAATTTTGATGAATTACTTATCTAGGTTTGGTGATATGTCAGGACTTAATATAAATGTTGACAAGTCTTACTTATATACTGCGGTTGTGCATGGACAAAAGCTGGAGGATATTCTTGCTATTACTAACATTCCCAAGGGTTCTATGCCGTTCCGATACTTGGGGATTCCACTTGCTGCAGGAAAGTTGAAAGTAAGCTCCTATGAATCCTTCATCAATAAAATCTCATCTTATATTGGAGGTTGGTCTTGTGCCTCTATATCTTATGCAGGGAGAGTGGAGCTTATAAGAACAGTTCTTCAAGGAGTGGAATGTTTTGGGTTATCAATTTTTACCATTTTGGCCGCGGTTACCTCTAAACTTATTAGCTTATGCTGGAATTTCCTATGGGATAAAAAAAACCATTGGTGGCTTGGAGAAACATTTGCCTTCCTAAGCATGACGATGTGCTCGATTTTAGAGACATTAAAAGCTGAAATTTTTTCACTTCTCTCCAAAACTCTTTGGAATATACATAGCAAAAAAAGGATTTCCTTTGGATTAAACGGGTCAATCATTTTTCCTTCGAGTGATGGACATTTGGGAACGCAAGGTGAATAAAGATGACTCTCCCTTACTTAAAAAGGTGCTGGATATCAGGGATAGTATCTTGGGTGATGAAGGCACACTCCAAGCCAGTATGGATAGACTCATTTGTTGGATGGAGACTAGGAATTTTTGCATCTCAGCTGCCTATGATTTCTGTAGGCCGAATAGTACTAAGGTTGTATGGATAGCGAGTGTTTGGAATGCGCCCATTACTCATAAGCATGCCTTCATTCTTTGGTTGTCTGTTAAGACCAGATTGCTTAACAAGAATAAAATTAAGTATTTGGATTTAGATTGTAGATGTGTACTTCATGGATTAACGGAGGAGACAGTACGACATCTATTTTTCTACTATCCATTCAGTAGTTCTGTTTGGGGAAAGATTCGGAGGTGGTTGGCCATCACATGTACAATGTCCAACTTGTCGAGTGCAGTGAAATGGATGAGAAAGGAAGCACGGGGAATGACTTGGCAAAGCAAAGTTAAGAAAATTGCACTTGCTACTTCCGTTTACTACATTTGGATGGCTAGGAACAAGAAGATTTTTAAAGATCTTGAGCCACACGTTGATTGTGTTGTAAGTCGGATTAAAATGCACGTATACAAAGTTATGTTCACTTTGTATCCATATGTATTTAATTCATTATAAATCATTAGCTTTGGCCTCTTAGCTATTATAGCTTGTATGCCCAGTGTATTTGTAATTGACTCTTGATGTTTGTTTTGCTCGGGTAGGCCCGATATACTTATACATGAAGTTTTGATCTATAAAGTTTATGTTTATCGAAAAAAGGACTAGGAGTATCAATATCACATGAAAATCCACCCACTTTCATATTTTAGACCGTCTATTCACAAAATAAAAATGAAAAATCATTTTCTCATTTTAAAGTTGTAGCCCCATTTTGAATTATGATCAACCCAACTTTAATTAGCCATGACACGGTCAACACATAGACCCAAATCTAGTTTTCACGTGACAGCAAAAAATGAGTAACACTAGGGTAGACCCGAACTTAATAATACAAACAATTCATTGAAGAGCAATATGTCCAAGCAAACAGTACCTCTGCAAAACTTGGGTAGACCCGAACTTAATAATACAAACAATCACTATTGCTCCAAAGCTCGATGTGATGTGAGCAACTCCTCTAGAGTATGGTGAATAACAAATGGTGATTCAACAAACCGTACAAAAACACTTCACATGTCAACCAATACTACTTTAATAGTTTAATCAATTTGCATGACAAGTACAGATTTTATTCAATATTATTGCCTTTAACATGCATAATCCAAAAAAAAAAAAAAAGTAAAAAAAATCATGTAAGGATGCAAATTCCTTTCGAGTCGAAACAACACAAGAATGTACAAAGTCACAAGTTATTTGAACAACTTAGTGTTTATGCATAGTTAAATCTCAATGTATAAATTTCAACTACATGCATATAATTTATTTCATTGATTCTATTTTTCGTCATTCAGCAACATTTTTTCATCTTCATCTCATATGTAGAAGAAATGAAAGGGAGCATTGTAATTGTTGGATAAATGAAATTCAAGAAATTACACTCCTTAAAAGTAGAGACATGATAGTTGGCCACCAAATTTGAACGAAAGCAGGTACAATACATATAACAGGAATTGTTTTATTCCCCCCAACGACCCCTTGCGACTACTCAAATTCTGTAATTAGAGAACTGTAAATAAATTTCACTAATGCAAGCATCTTTTCAGTTGGAGCGATTAGAAAATTAGAATCCAAATTCTCAACATCTTTTTCGTAGAATACCAAGAGAATCGAAGAAAACTTAAAGAGGAAGTTCTTTCACATACTTTTAATACGAACATATCTACAATATCAATTTCAGAATTAAGAATATGTTCTCATCATGAAATACAATATTTAAGTAAACTAGTTTTATGCATGAATAGTGCACAATAAAATAATATAGTATTATGAAAGATTAGAGCACGAATAACAAAGTCAGAACGCAAACATAAACTAAGAAGGTGCATTCGCGTAAACTGATTTTGTCAATCAGCATATAAATTAGCTTGTAAATTCGTCTTAAAATTGTTGGATAAATTGATGCATGGATTATATTCTGCTAATGAAAAATATGTATTTGGAAATTAATGCAATAAAATCGTAACGTATTTGTACAAAATACCAGATAGAATTTTGACTTACCAAATTTAAGATATGAGCACAATTCTGACATACACAAATCTAGAAACTAGGAGCAAGTGAAATGAAGCAAGATATGCGAATGCAAATCTCCATAACATGGATTTCGCCCTCTGCAAATAGAACGATTCTTCCAGAATTAGTCCTTATTTGAGCCTCATTCTATGGGGAAAAAATGCATTCTTAAACAGTATTTTGACATCATTTCAACTACACATTCTTCAATAAAATAATATTACATACAAATTCAAATTTTTTTTATTTTTAACCACATATTTCACATCAGTACACTATTCAAAAATATATTTTTATGATAAAAAAGGGCTCAAACAAGGGCTTAATATAGCACTATATTAATTTTGCCGGACGAACGACGCTTGACTGTACTATTTTGGAATGGAAGATATCGAACATGTAACTCAAAAATATTATAAACATTATTTTGACATAATTTGGAGAATGAAAAAATTAGAACGAAATTGATAAGGAGTGAAGAAAATGGAAATAAGAGGGTTCTATTTATAGATTTTCATCTGTCTCTTCCTAAAAGTCGCATCTTTTGGCAAAATTCATTTCAACCATTAGATCATACCATTTCACGTTTAATGATGTAGATTACACCCTATCAAAAAAGTTATGACTTTTTATCATACAACTTTTTGAATGGTCACACATATTAGGAAACAACATGTCTCTTTGATTCACATCATTTGCAATTGAAGAGTCGTGACTAGTCATAGCATCAATTGAAGACTTTTCCAATTCATACATTTAATCGTTATATATAACCTTAAATTCCAACATCAATTACATTACATAACTCAAATGGATCCAAAGTAAGACATTTTTGTTCATATTTTAGACCCAAGCCTTACTTTTCAAGTACTCGCAAGTGAATATTTATTTATTTACTTATTTAATTGGAATAGATAAGACAATGTAATTAGGAGGAATTCGGGATCGATCATCGAGAGGGTAGTGGGTTCCCTGCTGCATGGCCCATGCACGGTAACTTCATCATCGTGTACTATTTTGCCAACTGGAACATGGTTTCTTGAAATCAGGACTAGTGATAGCCAATTGTGTTGTGTCTAAACTTATAGTGCTATTTTTTTTTGTTTTATCAATTATTTCCCTTTTTTTTTCTTTTTTCTTTTTCCTTTTTTTTTTGGTAGTATTTCATGTGGCAACCTTTCGAGTCAACGGTAAATGAAGAATATTGAAATTTTGGGTATTACTGAAACATCCAAGTTAGACTTAGATGAACTTACGTGATATATATCACAATTATAATTGGTAAGATTAAAGGCCATTTCCTATCGAAGTATTCTTTTAGGTGATAAGAGTTGAATGTGATTGAATTTTAAAAACTTTCGTTTAAATTTTAAATATTAAAAAAAGTCACAACATTATTAAAAAATTACACATGTATTCTTAATTTGTATTCAAATTGGCAGCGTATTTTACTGTTCTTTTGACAATTCCTTTGCTTCCTTAAGGGCCTGCTTGGGAGTTTATTTTTTTCCATTGATTTTGATCAATTTTGGGTGACACCGTTTATAGGGGATTAGAAAAATTGATGATTGCTAATTTTTTTGAGCACCAATTTTAGATGGTTTAAAAATCACCCAAAACTGATGCAATGTAATTTTGACAGTTTCTCTCAACCCACCAAATCCATAGGTTTTGACCATTTCTCATATTCTCTTCTAATTTTACTCTATAAAATAATTATTTCAAGTCAATATATTTTCGTCAAAGCTAAATGGTAAATAGAAATATATTTAAAAATATTTATAAGCAAAAAAATTATATTTTAACTAGAAATACTTATAAAATATTACTTTTAAAATAAGAAAAATTACAGTATAATTAAAAATTACTTGCAAATTAAAAATATTCACTTCATTTTTTAATGTAGATATTTGATTTATTTAATTTTTTAAGTTATATATCTTATATATAAAAAAATTACCTCTACGTAAAATATCTTGTATGAGTAAAAAAATTCATATAAGAAACTATAAACTGAAGATTTTATTGAGAGACATCTTTTAAAAAAATTTCAGACCCGATTATTATAAACTTTCAAGAGTGAATCGAATAATTTTAAAAATTGTTATTAAAATCACTCAAAATCAATCAATAACCTAAAACTCCCCAGCAGGCCCTAAGAATACACCAAAGCCTAGGATAATAGGAAGAACTTTTAGTCCAATATTTAATTTAAATAATTCCTTCGTAGGCCTGCGCAAGTAGAAAAATTGTTCCACTTATGATTAATAAATTATGAAAAAACAAGAGTTGATCCACGGCAAGACCTGCAGGGTAAGTGGGTCAATTTTTTGGAATTAGATTTATAAGACCTCTTAAAATATTGTCAATAAAATATAATTATACTTTAATTGTTTTCTTAATAGTATTCTGTCGACTGCTTGCTTTAGTGCCTCATAAAACTAATTCCAAGTTGACTGAATATAAAATAAAAAGTTAGACTTGACTTATTGTCATCCAAACATTTTGCAAAAAGAAACATTTTTCTGGACAAAATTCGCGTGATATTTTATTCATTTTCTAAACCAGCATTTGTAGCCACATAAATAAGTTTTCGCTCAATCAAGAATCACATAGTTGCCAAAGAAAAGATAATATAAGTTTTGGAATACTTACATACCCATATAGTATATTTTACTATAATAAAATAATAATTTATAATAAATAAATTGTGATTTTTTTATTTATTGTATTTATTTATAATTGAACGTGTGAATTAAAATGTCTATGGTCATTTGTGATAATATAAGTTGGATACTTGTGTTGAGAAATACAGTGCAACACAACTTATATTTCTTTCATAAATAATATGTTTACAACCAATATATTTGTAATGTTGATCGATTTACAATTCATATTTGTGATTTGTCCTTATCACAAAAAAAGAGAGTTAAATGTGACATTAGTACACTTGGAGAGCATTGAACAGATCACGTGTCGAATTTAATTCTATAGTATGATCGTGTGAAGAATTAAATTTCACTTGACCGCTGTATATTTCATTTAAAATCCTTGACCGGATTATTTATATTTTGTGATTTTAGTGATTCTTTGATTCATAATAGGTGAGATCAATTTGATTGGTCAGATATCTCGATGAATTAAGAATTTGAGAATGAGGGAATTAGAAAACATGAATTTATGTCTGAAACCATCACCCTAGAAAATAGGTAGTGACTTCTTAGGTATATTCTGTTGAACGATAAAAATCTGAGCTTCGTATTTAACAACTGCTAAACTTCTAAATCTGTGTGATTAGTTCACATAACCATTAAAGAAAATGATACTTAAGTTAGTGAGAATAATTAGAATGGCAAAATGATCATTTATATTCGTACCTAATTATCGGATCTTGAATGGGGATAAAATACATATATGACAGGTGAAAGGAAAGTATTACAAATTTATTAGCTTCTATGATATTATATACCTCGAAAATTCATCTTCTCGCCTTTAATGGAAAAAAACAAATACTAAATAATTAGATCAAGTGGTCTAAGGTCGACTAAAT